ACAATGCTGGCTTGTGTGGAAAAATCATTATAAAACAGGACTAGAAAGTGAATAGCTACAGTTTCCCCCTATCAAACGGAAGTAGAAAAGCACAGAAAGAATATTGGTGATTTAAACTTACCATAATTTTGTATCTAGCTTCTCAAATAGTTCCGTGGACTTAGAACCAACATTTGATTGGAAGGAAGAATTTCCAACATCAAAGTCTTAGAATGTGTCAGGACAGTAGAAGAGAAGATTTGTCACTGCAAAATAACTCCCTTAGCAGTTTATAATAGAGAATGTGAAACAGCAGGTCACCTTCATTGCCGTCGTGTGGTTCAGGGAAGTTCTACTTATTAACTGAAACACAACTTAAATAATTCAGCTTAGTTTTGATATGCTGGGGAACAATGTAGTGGTTAGCATCAGTGATGGTGTGATTTCTTTTGAGCAAAGGTATCTTGTAGTCTGCAGAGCTTGTGCTGTATCCAGCCTCCACATTCAAGCAAGGTTGAAGGGACTGCTGTTGAAGCATGGATCACTACAGCCCTGTCCATACACATGGACCTCTCTTCTGTTGGCTTCTCCTACTGCAATAAAAAACAAATAAGCACTAAATCAATAAATCGGCAAAGGAAAGATGAAACAGCAGGGCAGTAAGATACTAGAGTTAAAAGTTTCTTGGCATAGGCACAAAGTTGCTTAATATAGTTGTGAGATAATAGAAAGTTACGAAAAACTGGCTGTTTGTCAGTTTACTTGATTAAAAGAGAAGTAATAATAAGAAACATTTTAATTCTGCTTAATAGAAGTAACATATTTATTTGGGGCCAGGAACTATATAAAGTCTTTATGCAAACTGTCTCATTCAACCTTCTCAACAATCCCATGACATAGGTATTATCCTCACTTTACAGAAGAAAAATTCAGGCAAAAGAGTTTAACTTGCTCAAGATTTCAGAATTACTAAGTGATGAAGCTGGAATTTAAAAAGAGTAAGTCTTAACTTCAGAAACCATGTTCTTAATCAATATTTTATATGTTTACATAGAGAGGCTACCCTTTTCCCCACAGAATTTAGCTTTTTCCATTCTTGATTGTTTCTTCACCAGAAAGCCATCTTCTTTAATAATCTCTTCAAAAGTATAGTAGATGGCTGTAACTTAAAATACTATATATGATATCATGCAATTTTAAGACTGGAATGACTATTTTAGAAGTCCTATGAATAATCTGACAAATTTAATCTACCCTGTTTTTTAATGTAGTGGATTGACTAGAAAAGAAGTTCTACTTAAGACAAATTAGACTAATGTAGAACAATTGAGTTCAACTTTTTTCTTTTCCACTCTGAAAGACACGACAGATAATGTTCACTCCTGGATAAAATTGCACAATCACTAGCAATTCGTCTTCCATTCTCATTTGGATCATCAGAGCTTGTTTCCTATTCCCCTTAGTTGCAAATCCTTTTCCATTACTTTCCCATTTCTCTCAGTTGCAAATCTAAGCCATTTCCACATTCCATAAGACTTAATTCCCATTCCCCCATCTCTTCAGACAATCTTGCCTCCTATGTCACTGAGGAAACTGAGGCCAACAGGCTTGAAATTCATAAATTTTTTTCTGTTAGACCAACAAATGCATCTACGTGGGCATCCATCTGTCCAGTCTTCCCTCAGAAGATTTCTCCTCTCCTTCTGGTCCAAATCAAATTATTTGTGCTCTTGTTTTCATCCTCTCCCATCTCTTCAAGAAATTTGAACCATTAATTTCCCATTAGTAGATGTGTCAGATACATTGCTGCCATGCCCACAACCTCTTATGAGGGAAGGCAATCCACCCATGGTCTTTGCAAAGAGGCAGCCATGTTTTGTACCATGCAAACTTCTGTGTACTAACTGATTGAACAAGGTGGGCACCTGTTTCAAAGGGCAGCCAATTTACAGGCTGGCGAGAGAATTAAGACAAGGTCTGGTATGAAAAGATGAGCAGGGCCTGTCGCCTTCTTAAAACTTTTCAAAGGTGCTCACTGCTTTAAGAATGAAAGACTCATTTTAAGTGAGATGAGCGGATTTTTATTATTAGAAACGTTATGAAATGATCTTTGATGCATGTCTTGCCTATGAAAATCATTCACTTTAATGCGGGAATAAGTTTCTACTGGATAGTTGCTAGAGAACTAAGCATCTTAGTACAGGAATTATAATAAATTGAACATTAATGATAAAAATAGCACTCATAGGAGCCTATTATACGGGTTTTAAATACAGCATCTCTGACTCTCACAGTAATCCTGCAATGTAGGTTCTAATATTCCTAATTGTCAGATAATGAAACTAAGGCTCAGAGAACTTGGGTCACTTTCCAAGGTCACACTCAACGTGTGGCTGAGCTTAGAGTGTGGCAAAGCTTATGTACTCTTTGTCCTCTTTATACTATATCTGGCTTTTTCCTAGCCAAACACACGAAGGCATTGTTTAATTTTATTTTATCATTTGTTATCTTGGCTTGACATCAAAATGATTGAAGTTGGCTTATGTAAGTATATAAACAGCATAAAATTAACAAATAAATAACTAGAGGAAGGAAATAAAATCAAGCTAGAGGCAGATTTAGTGTGTAAGAATGTGTGCCATAAGTTTTGTGTGTGTGTGTGAGGAAGACTAGCCCTTAGCTAACATCCAATGCCATTCCTTCTCTTTTTTTTGTTGCTGAGGAAGACTGGCCCTGAGCTAACTTCCGTGCCCATGTTCCTCCACCTTATATGGGATGCCACCATAGCATGGCTTGACAAGCGGTGCGTCGGTGCACGACGCCCAGGATCTGAACCTGCGAACCCTGGGCCACGGGAGCAGAGTGCAGGCACCTAACCGCTTTGCCACCAGGCTGCCTCCGCCATAAATTTTTTAAGTAGTTAGGGTCTCTAAAGATTGCTTCATTAAGAAGGAGTGATATTAGGAAGACTTGGTAGCTCTTGAGGACTCAAAAGATTGGGCATGACAGGTGATCATTATTAAGCACATACATTAAGTGAAATATAGTGAGATGCACCTGGTACAAACGCTTGCTGAATGAACTTACAAATATCAGGCACCTCAGCTTATAAGATGTAAGGTTAGGAAGTCCATAGAGAAAGGGTGAATATTCACTATAGATTAATTTGAGCAAAGTTCTGTGAAAATATCACTGACCACGAATATTCAGGAATTGACATTCCACAAAATGGCATATCAAAAAAGAATATCATCCCAAAGATGAGAAGAATGTCTTAAAATCTGCAGCATTCAAGTTGAAATCTAGTCTTGATTTTACACCATTTTCTTTATTGGTTAACATTTGGGGGTACACTTCTCTGGAGAGAGCCACTTACCGAGAAAAAGAGTAAAAATGGAGATGGACTTACCAAGAGCCAATTTAACAGTGTCTTTGAAGGAGAAGCTACCCTTACAAAAACATGGTCCAAACTTGCTCAAATGTCCACCACGGTACGACTTAACACTTACTCTTTTCCCAACCGGCCTATAAACGGGTACAAGTGGCGACACCGAGATACCGTTCATACATATGATTTTTTGGGGTCGAAGATTCTGAGCAATAACTTACGAAAAACCTAGCTGCTGATTTGAGTATGTAATTACACAGGAGGAGAGTTTGGACTTGGAGTGGTGGTAAACAGCAGGTTTACTTCACACAGCGGATTAGCTCATACTTAATAATGTAGTAAATCTGTTGGGCCCTGACTGTACGCGCCCAAGTGATGAAAATTGCTGCTATGTCTCTACTCTCTAAGCCTTCGGCATCAACAAGCACAGTATTTCCTGGATGCCGTCTTGCTGATGTCAGCTTTGCTAGTCCAGGTTCAGATTCTACCAAAGTCTCAGGAATTAAATTTCCTAGAGAACCGAGACTCTTCCCAGGTTCTTCTTTGCCTTGTTGTATACTTTTATTTTCAAAGTCTGATGGGCGAAAAACCTTGGGCTTCAGGAGGCATACTGGGGTAGGGCCCAGGGATCCGCATTTTCAACAACCGCCTCAGGTGGACTTGATGCCAGATGGTTCAGACCATATTTTGAAAAACAGAGTACAACGAGGTAAGGATGGTGATACTGTAGGATCCCAAAAAAGGAAATCCCAACTCCAGTCTCGGGAAGGCGCAGACCCACAGACACAGAAGACCGAGCTTGATGCAAATGCAAGAGGTTTATTAAGCAGAGCTCCGGGTCGACACGTATCTCTCGCAGGAGACAGAGGAGTCGACCCCGGACCTTAAAGGGCAAATTCTTATATAGGGTTTGGGAGCACAAAGCGGGAAAAGGTTGGCACAGTCTTAACATGATTGGCTAATTTAAAACATTTAAACAGTTACATTTTATGGCGCGAATTGCTATGGCGCGAAGCGATTATCAGGTTACACACATGCGTCCCCATCTGGACCCCCTCCACCCCGACCCTCCCAAACTTATCCCTCTGGAGCACTCTCTTGTTCTCAATTCTTCCCCGAACAGTTTAGGGTGGGTCTTCCATGACTAGAGTCAGTCAGGATGGATAAACGTTCCCCCTTGTACCAGGAATCCTTAGGGTGTGGAGGTGCCTGTCTCTAAGGTAGTAACTTTTTAATTTTTAATATAATTTTTACTTCCTTCAATACAAGAGTCAGCTGTTAAAAGGTGTTCTGTTTGGGCAGCTTTGGAGGCTAAGGCTTAGTCCGGGCTTATTTACACCTAGAAGATTAAAGCGGGGGAGTCGTTGAGTCAGACTCTGAGGCGCCTGCTAGGACGCAACTCGCCCATGCTCGGGACCAGCCGACGCCGGCTCCACCTAAACCACAGGTCTCCTGAACCTCCTCGGGGGTTTCTGCCGGCTTCACCTGAGCCACAGACCTACAGCGCTCCTCGGAGCTTCCGGCTGACACCCACAGTCCTCGCCAGGCGCCGCTGCTTCCTCACAGCAGAAGCGCGGTAACGCGCAGCAAACCCCGGCGCGCGAGGCGCGAGCACCCTCCGGTCCCGCCCCCTGCCCAGCGGAGCCGGAAGTTGTCTTTCTCAGCCGGTACGTCGCCCTCCGCGGGCCGCACGGCATGATGCTCCGCGGCCCCCGCCGCTTCCTCAGGGTCTCGGTAGCACCCGCCGCGGCCCTGGCTGTGGCGGTGCTCTCGTCACTCTCGCGCTGCTCCCTCCTGGAGCCGGAGGACCGCGTGGTCTCGGCGCTCAGCTCCTACTTCGGCACCAAGACTCGCTACGAGGATGTCAACCCCGGTCTGCCGCCGGACCCCGAGGCGCCGCGGCGGGACCCGGAGCTGCTGGAGGAGACCTGCACCCCGGTGCAGCTGGTCGCCCTCATCCGCCACGGCACTCGCTACCCTACGGCCAAACAGATCCGCAAGCTGCGACAGCTGCACGGGTTGCTGCAGGCCGGCGGGCCCGGGGATGACAGCACCCGCGCTGCCGGCGGCCGCGACCTGAGCGCCGCGCTGGCAAACTGGCCTCTGTGGTACGCGGACTGGATGGACGGGCAGCTGGTGGAGAAGGGGCGACAGGACATGCGACAGCTGGCGCTGCGCCTGGCCTCCCTTTTCCCGGCGCTCTTCAGCCTCGAGAACTACGGCCGCCTGCAGCTCATCACCAGCTCCAAGCATCGCTGCGTGGACAGCGGCGCCGCCTTCCTGCAAGGGCTGTGGCAGCACTACCACCCTGGGTTGCCGCCACCGGACGTCGCAGGTAACCCCCCGGGCCGCCGGGCCACTGCCCTGCCTCAGTTCTCCCCCTGTCCTAAGTCCTCCCCCAGATCCCGGACTGCCCCAGCCTCCCTCACTTCCCTCTGTCCCCAGTCACCCGTCCCTCGGGCCCCCATCCTATGGAATGCTCAGGACTTGGCTGTCTCCCTCCTCCTCATACGCACGTTCCTTTATTCATTCATCAGGTATGAATTTGGCATCTTCTACGTGCAGGACAGAGTAGTAGACGTTGGGGTATCCAATAGGAAAGGAGGCAGACGAGAGCAGTTTTTAATCTCCCATCCCGGATTGAAATGGCCCTCCGAGCACAGCCCGTCCCTTCCTCCCTCCCTGGCAGCTAGTTCTGCGGTTGGGTGCACTTTTTAAATACAATCTAGGACTTTCTTCCTCAGGCTTTGCTTCTGATACTATTTGGGTTTTTTTACTTATGGACTTTTTCAGATGTTGGTTCCAGACCTACATCCTCTTTTAGGAAGCTATTCTCTAACTTTCTTTACTGCTCTGGTTTTTTCTCTTTTGTTCTTTTGTGTACTATAGAGTTACCCGCGTTGTAGCCGTGGGCCATGGTCACACGCAGTACTTTACTGATTTATTCCACTACTTACACTTTTGCAAAATTTGACAGATCGTCTAGTGGGGGCCCTTTTATTTCACAGGTGAAGTTGAGCCTAAGAATATGCCTTGATGATTGTCCTTCCTTAGTTTGAGTGCTAGAGTCAGGCCTAGAATCCAGGTCTTTTGTTTTCCCCTGAATTGTGCTTTTTTCCCTCAGAAAATGTTTTGATAGTCACAGATAATACTAATAGCAGACACTTAATGCCAGCTGTGTGCCAGGCATGCTTCACATTTATGTCACTAAATCCTTACAACAGCTCTCTTAGGTTGATAGTATTTTCTCCCTATCCAACAGATGAAGAAATTGAGACACAGAAACGTTAAATAATTTACTAATTTCATATAGCTAGGTCTGTACCCAGGAAATCTGATTTAGAGCTTGGTCTCTTAACCATTACAGTATACAGCTTCCATTTGTCCTGTAATTTAAGGCTAAGTGTAAAAGCATTTAATACTTTTGTGCCAGAGAGATGAACAAGTGTTAATACTGTCTTGATCAGTTTTAAGCTCAGAGTTGACATGAGATATCATTTAGCTTCAAAGCCCAAGTGAAAAATAAATTAGAAGTATACTGGTTTGTCATTTCTCCAGTAGAATCCTCTCTTAAGTAGTTCAGCTGTCTCCAAGGCATTCCTCCATTGATTATGTGTCACGTTATTGCTCTAGAGGTAACTCAGTTGGCTGACTTGTGTTTAGTCACTTGTTAAATTGTGCATTTTAATTATAACTAGACTTTTCCCATTAATGTGAGTGAAAATTCCTCACAAATCTATTAAATTAACTGAATGTTGAAAGCAGAACATATTTCAATATAGCTCAGTATATATAGTGCATACCAAAAAGGGTCTACTGGACCTCCTGGGATGAATGAATTTTTGCCTTCAGCTGGCATTGTGAGGATTGGCATTTGCCTCCAAGTACAAAGCCAGGGATCAGAATAGTTAAGGATAAGCCCACCCCTCATCATTTTCAGTCTCATAGATTAAACCCTTTGCCTAGCTACTTCATTATTATCTATAGACAGTTGTTTTGCCTGTTGGGTATATCTCGGCTTTTGAGGGAGGCTGCTGAATTAGATTTTGTATTCTTACAGAAACAGAACTGTTTCTCTTTAAAGAGCAGCAGTAATTAGACAGTAGCAAGGATGAAATATCCACATCCACTTGGGAAATCAGTTTTTGAGGCCACAGAAGATGACAACGATAACTTATTTTCCTAGTCAAGATGTTTTCTTAAGAACTGCAATCCAACTGGCGATTCAAGTGGGCAGAATTATCCATTTCAGGAGATCCTGAAATGGATACACACACACACGTATATGTGTATATGTTCACACACACATCCAAAGCAAAACAGTATAACTAGATTTAATTTTCTCGTTTCATATGCAGAAATAGTATACTTGGTGTTCTTTTCATGGTAAATTATGAGAGAAAAAATGATTGAAATCTGTATGTTTTGAATATGACTCTGAAAAAACTTAAAAGGCACCCCAATAGTTGAAACATGATTATGAATGCTTTTCCACCACATGTTTGTTGCCAAATTGAGGAAATAATGTAACATTGAATTTTAAGTGGAAAGTTATCTGGGAGCTTCCGTTAGAAAAAATAAATCAAATCAGAAGCACCTAGCACAGTGAAATACAGAAACGTTGATGTAATTTGTGCTGCTATCAGTAGTTTTTGTCCAAAGCAGAGTCTTTTGTAAAGCAACACGGGGTTGGGAAAGTTGATTGAGAAAATAAAATGCTGTATTTAGACTTTGGCTTAGAGGAGAAAAACAGATTCGATTTGTTGAATTATCTCTCACTTTGTAATTAGAAACTTTGCTGATTTTTAGTTTGTTTTCTTAAGTTTTCTGTGCCTGACAGAAACAGTACTTATATAACACATTTTTGCACTTTTTATGACTTTCATGTCTAATTATTTTTGTTTTAAGAAAACATTCATTTCAGTTACCTTTATTTCATTGTGTAGTATTGCTATAATACATTTTATCTTTGATACTCTCTGTCTCTTTAGTCTTTTCTAGCATATGCTCTCATGAATTACAATCATGACAAATAGGGAGTAGTTTTGTCCTATATCTTTCTTAATCAGTGTGTGCTTATTTCAGACATGCCAATGAATAAATAGGTTTTTAGTGTTCCTTTTCACACTTGAAACAAAGTTTTCAATAATTTGAAATTGTCATTTATGTCATTGATTTATGTATGTATATAGAAAAAAATCTATATATATATATATATATATATAGATTTTTTTTTTCCCTTTCAGACATGGAGTGTGGACCTCCAAGAGTTAATGATAAACTAATGAGGTTCTTTGATCATTGTGAGAAGTTTTTAACTGAAGTGGAAAGGAATGCTACTGCTCTTTATCATGTAGAAGCCTTCAAAACTGGACCAGAAATGCAGAACATTTTAAAAAAAGTTGCAGCTGCTTTGCAAGTGCCAGTCAACAATTTAAATGCAGGTAAGGTGCCTGTTATTTTTCATTTGAACTCGGAAATAGTTTAAATGGTTTTTGAATTCTGAAAATGAAAAAATATGGAAGCATAAAGTTATACCTTTTAAAGACCCACAGTTGATTTTACATTAAGAAGATAATATGTTCTAGAGCAAGAAAATTGTACACCTTATGCTTAACTATTTTTAGATTCATATTCTTCTTTGAGTTCTATGTAAATTAATGTACAAGATTTCTTGCTATATCCTGGAATTTTTTTTTTGGAGGGCAGAGGTATATAAAGTTTCAACTCTAAACATTATTTATAAAACAAAAATTTTCCGAATTATCTCCTCGTAAAGTGATACAGATGGAAAAGTTATAAATTCTTCAGCTTTTGAAGCAGTTCAGAAGTACAGGCTAATGTTTTGAGAGGGATAAGTTTTAGAAAGTCAAAGGCAAAGTAGTGTGATTTTTTGTTTTTTTGAGGCTTTTAAACCTAGAGATGCTGAGAAAATGACCAGTCGTGTTTGTCATATGGTATTACAGTGGATGGGCTGACAGTGCAAATTATCATACAACCTGGGACACTTTTTTTGTTTTTTATTTTTGGTGAGGAAGATTAGTGTTGAGCTAACATCCAATGCCAATCCTCCTCTTTTTCCTGAGGAAGATTGGCCCTGGGCTAACATCTGTGCCCATCTTCCTCTGCTTTATGTGGGATGCCGCCACAGCATGGCTTGATAAGCAGTGTGTAGGTCCACATCCAGGATCCAAACCTGTGAACCCCGGGCCGACGAATAGGAGCGTGCGAACTTAACCGCTACGCCACTGGGCCGGCCCCAACCTGGGGCACTTTTGAGGGTGAGAGGAGACACTTAATAGTTATACTGGGAAAGTAAATGGAAAACGAGGGCACATGATCACCTAGCAATGGGAAATTAAGAAAAAATAATAAGATTTTCCTGTTTTCTAGGAATTTATAATCTAAAGAGCAGATTTGACAAATATACAAAGAGTATGGATTTCATTATATTCTGAATAAATTTCCAACAGACTAGAAGTGGTAGATGTTGGGGAAAAAAAATAAAGTAAACTAGAATCTGTCCATCATGGAACCTGAATACTTGATAAGGATCAAAAAAGTGAAGATGCCTAGACTAGCATTTAAAATCGAGTGTTTTCTCTTTCCCCAAACTGGCTATACATTGGGGTCACCTGTGGAACTTTAAAAATTATTTATTTTATTGGGAAATAATTCAAGGATATAGATAATAATAAAAGTTATACCTGAAAACTTAGTTTTATCAAATTTTAACATTATGCTTTAATTAGTTGCTTTAAATAAATTGAGGTCCCTTGGTCCCTCTCCAGGATCTCATTCCTCTCCTTTTCTCCCCAGAGGTAACCATTATCATGAATTGAGCATTTAAATCATCCCATGCCAATTTTTACGTTTATATTTATGTTTCTATATATAAATGGGATATTGTTTTGCAGATTTTTAAACTTTTAAAGAATGGTATCAAACTGTATAATAGCAGTCTGAAATTTGATTTTAATTCAATTTATTTTTGATTTAATGTATGTAGTTCTAGTCCTATATTTTAAACTTATGTACAGAATTCCGTTATATAACTATACCAGTATCTAGCCTTTATTTTGTTAGTGAGCATTTATATCGTTGACGAAGATTTTTTTACAACTATTTTTAGTCTCTGAATGGACAAGGCTTATTTGTGTTTCACTGCTGAAGTAACTGATAGCGACCTGTTTTTTGGAGGCAATATAAGCATAGTGGTTAAAATCATGGGTTCTGGAATTGGACTGTTTGTGTTTGAATTTTGCCTCTGTTATACTATGGACTAACTCTGTGAAGTTCAGCAAGTTCCTTAATATCTCTATGTCATAGTTTCTTTCTCTGTAAAATGGGTATAGGAATTGTACCTGCTTCATAGGAATATTACAAAGATTATATGAGATTAATTCATGCAAAGCGTTAGCACAGTACTTGGCACAGAATAACTGCTCAAAATATTTTAGCTATTTAAATACTTTTTTTTTCTTTTTTTGGTGAGGAAGATTAGCCCTGAGCTAACATCTGTTGCCGCTCCTCCTCTTTTTGCTGAGGAAGATTGGCCCTGGCTAACATCTGTGCCATCTTCCTCTTTTTTATATGGAATGCCACCACAGCATGGTTTAACAAGCAGTGTGTCGGTGCACACCCAGGATCTGAACCTGCTAACCTGGGGCCGCCAGAGGGGAGCATGTGCACTTAACCGCGACACCACCAGGCCAGCGGTTTTTTTTTTTTTTTTTTTTTTTTTACATAGGTGATGCTGTATGTATTTTCTGTAACTTATTTTTACTTAGCAATATATCTGTCTCGTATAGATCTGTCTCATTCTTTTATATTTTATAGGATATGTGATTCAATTTCTAGGTCAATGCTACTTAAAAACTTACTTAACAATCATCAGATTTTACTGGTGGGAGAGGCTGGAGTTAAAACCGTCCAAATTCTTTTTATAGGAAATAATTTTCCTGCTGAAGTTCTTCTTAGTTTTTAACTGTTTCAAATGATGCTACAGTGAACATTCTTATAGTCTGGTTTTTGCACTTGAGAGTTGCTCTATAAGATAACTGTAGGTGGAATTGTTGGGTTAAAGAGCATGAATATTTTACATCTTGATGTATACTTCCAAATTGTTCTCTGAAAGTGTAGAAAAATTTATATCAATAATATATGAGAATGCTCATTTTCTCCTATCTCATCCAACAGTGGATATTATTGATCATTTTGATTTTTGCCAATTGGATTAATGAAAAATGGTATCTAGCTTTAATTTGCATTTCTTTGGTTACTTGTGAAGGTGAACATCTTTTCATATGTTTATTAACTACTTGCATTCCTTCTTAGAATTGCCTCTTAATAGCCTTGTCCATTTTCTATTGAATTCTTTTTACATTTTTCTTACTATTGTTTTATGTTGATCATAGGTACCGTTTATGTGTTATGGATATATTAATTATATATCCTTTAATTTTCTTTGATGAAGGATAAATTTTTTGCCTATTGTATGTTGCTAACATTTTCTCTTAATTTGTTGTTTATCTTTTAAGTCTAGTTATGGTGCCTTAGAGGCACCATACAGAGGTTTACATCTTTTATATAGTCATATTTGTCTTTTCATTATGGCTTCTGAGTGTTGTATTTTGCTTAGGAATCTTTTCTTATCCGAAGATTATTATATTTTCCTATGTCTTCCTATTTTATTTAATTTTAATTTAATTTTTTTAATGTTTAAATCTTTAATCCATCTGAAATATTTTTGAGGTTCCAAAAGATTGACCAAGAAGTCAGAATGGTCATAATAGATGGATCAGAGCCATAACTCGTCATGAAAGATTTTTGTCTAACCTCCCTATTATGCAGGTGGGAAAATTGAGACCCAGAGAGCCTAGAGTGACTTGCCCAGTATAATTAGTGGCAGAGTCAGGTCTCATAGCCTCAGTTGTTATCTTATGCTTTTTCTCCCTATACTAGTACTTCAAAGTTTTTTGGTAAATTTTTTTTCAGTCAACTCCACTCCGGTTAAAGAATAGACCATTTGGACTCACTCATAGTTTCAGAAGTAGAACTTCGAGTGTGAATGAGCCGGCTCCTTTCATCAAACATATATGGTACTTACAAGCCACTATATTTAATATTAGGTATTAGGATTATAAAACCTTTCATTTATATAGGCAGAGTTTTTAAATGGCTTTTACATATATTCCCAATGAAATATTCTTTTTGTATATACTCTACATATATACTTTTGTATATACTCTATATACTGCCTCAGGGAAGTTCTTTAAACTCAAAACTAGTACAAAAAGCATGTGAGATCACTTATTTTTTGTGTTGTATTTCCCATTTTCCTTGGGAAAGAGGAAAGGCAGTGAAGTTAAAGAAAAATCAGAGCAATGGAGGCGACCCCTGCAGTTGACTTCTCTCTCTGTAGCGTTAAACTTCCTCTTGACTAGTTTGCAGTGTTTTTATTTGGTACTGACAAAGGCTACCTTTTGTAGCCCAGGTACTCGTTCCCTTATCCCTTGTCTTCAAAACCCATATGTATCTAAAAGTAATGCAGTCAGCTAATTAACAATGCAAAAATCCCAGGTAACTTACTCTGAAATCCGCTGCGTGATTGAGCAGCTAAGTTTGAAAAACTGATGCTGTTCTCAGCCTCTCTCCCTCTTCAGAGTGTGATTTTTCCCGCTTTGTTTCTCTTCCTCTTGACCGTTTGTTTCTCCTTCTTTCTGACCCCTCACTTACTCTGCTTTTTCTTCCCTCTCTACCTTCTGCAGTCTTCTGTTCCCTTTTATAGCCCCTCTCTGTACTTGCTTCTTCTTAATAGTTATAATGTGAATCGTGTAGTTAAAGGAACTGTTCAATAAATGTACTTTGTTATTCCTAATTTTCAAGTTGGGGAATAAAACCTTTTATAACTTTATCTCCCTTCCTCCAACCCTCTAAAATTAACAAAATCAAATTATGTTTCAGGTAGTAAATCCTTGGGTTAAACTTTTTGTTGGGTTTTGTAGGTAAGCATGCTCTTAACAAATGTATTACTTTTAAAAACAGAAAAAAGTTACTGTTTTACAGAGAAAAAGTTTCTTAGTTTCATTGGACTGAAATTTATACCTCCTAGTGGTTTCTGCCTGACAGTTCCAGTTCCTTCCCTTTGGATTGTACAGAGTAAGTCTTAATTCTTTGATAGCCAGGAAGAAACTGAGTAGTCTCTTCTCCAAACTACACATATCCAGTTTCTTCAGCTGTGCTGCACATGGCATTCTATAGATATTTAGCCTTTGGAAAATTGCAGAAAATAGAAACCCACAAATTTTACCTTTTTTTCTTTTTTCAGATTTAATTCAGGTGGCTTTTTTCACCTGTTCATTTGACCTGGCAATTAAAGGTGTTAAATCTCCTTGGTGTGATGTTTTTGACATAGATGATGCAAAGGTAAGTATTACTTTTGTGGTTGTTTGCATGATATTTTGTTATAGTTACTTGAAGCAGCTTTTCAAAAGATAGGCAGAGTAGGGAACATTAACTGTCGTGAACTAAGTCGAAATTTTCCTTACATAAAGGGAGATTAGTTGTTCAGAGACGGCCTACCTACTTGTAAATAGTTTGGGTTCATAAAACTCTGGAAAACATCCTTCCATGGTGATTTGATTTCTAGGTTCACCCAGTTAAAAACCTATTTAACCCATCATCAAATTTTACTGCTGGAAAGAATTATAGTGCTAATATAATCCAAATTCTTCTTTCTATAGGAAGCCAAAGTTCAGAGAGGATAAATGGTTTTCCAAATACCTATTTCTTTTATAACAGTTTTTATGATAAATTGAGTTCTGTGTTCTACCTGGTGATGGCAGTAATTCATCTACAATTTCTGTCTGTCTAATGTTCCCTTTTTTTTTTTCTCTTTTCATATGGCTTCTTTGTAGACTTTTAGACTCTCGAAAGAGAAGGGCAGGCAAATTCTGGTCAATTCTGGGATGTTGGGAGCCAGAGAGGTGGGGTAGGAGAGTGTTAATTGTTTTCTTGAGCATTGAGGATACTAACATTGGGTAGAATTCTGGTAGATGAGAGTAGGATGTGTCTGTATGTATGGATCATTCAGGAATATGGACTTTTGAAACTTCAGTCATCCTTGCATGCATATGAAACTTTCAGAATTCCATATGAAAATCAACTCTTAACTTCAAAATTTAACCTCACATTTTGAAAAGAAGTATACTATTTGCCAGATAGAGGCAGGCTTTTAAGCTGAGAGCTAATGTACATTTGAAGGTAAACAAGTGCTTCATTTTGTTGCTCAAAGACTTAAGTGACCAGCAACCAGATTAAAGGTGATTTTACGTAGTATTGTGCCAATGCGGGAGTAGAGCTTAGCAGGTGAGTTGGAAGAAGGTGAAACGGCCCTCAGTGGATGATTGCTCTAGGATGCTGAGCACCAGTAGTAATAGGTGTATTGTATTTCCTCTCTGTGCTCCTGAATTGCTTCCTGATGCTCTACTTTTTCTCTGTCCCAAGTACCTAATACCCTGCTCATCTCCTCTGACTGTCCATAACTCATCACTTCAGCATCTTCCTGGCCTACCTTCCTTTGAATGCCCTTTGCTTAGGATGACCACAAAATTCATCTACTAATTGGGATACTTTTAAAAGTGAAATGGGCACCATTAATAGTTATGCCAGTATAGGTATAAACTAAGACTTATGGTCACCATTCACATGTGTCAAAATATTTCACCTCCCTTTTCTCCCTACCCGGATTGCTCTAGGGAAAAAAAGCCAGTAAACAGAATTGAAGTGATTTTAAGTATTGTGTAAATGACTGATGGGTGTTGGCAAAAGGGAAATTCACCTTTTAACAAAAGAACAACTTATTTGCCCAAGTTATTAAAGTTGTTAAAATGTTACCACAGACTTAGTGGTTTAAAACAACACACATTTATTATCTTCGAGTTCTGGAACTCAGAAGGCCAAAATGAATCTTACGGGGCTAAAATCAAGGTATCAGCAGGGCTGTGTTCTTTCTGGAGGCTCTAGGGGAAAATCCCTTCCTTGCCTTTTCCAGTCTCTAGAGGCCACCTGCATTCCTTATATCACTCAGACCTCTGCTTCCATGGTTATATCTCCTACACTAAACTGTCCTTCCTGCCTACTTCTTATAAGGATCCTTATGATTACATTGGGCCCACCTGGATAGTCCAGGATAATTTTCCCATCTTAAGATCCTTAGCTTAATCACATCTGCAAATTCTCTTTTATCATGTAAAATGACATATTCAGAGGTTCCACGGATTAGGATGTAAACATCTTTGGGGGGCATTTATTCTGTCTACCACATATATATAATCTTTTTTCCTTGCAGACATCAGGACACTTCACCCTTAAATTCTTGGGCATGCATCTAAACAAGAACATTCTCCTACATAACCATAATAAAATATAATTTTATGTATATAGTCATCCCTCAGTAATCCCCAGGAGATTGATTCCAGGAACCCCCACGGATACCAAAATCTGTGGGTGCTCAAGTCCCTTATATCAAAAGACGTAGAACAGTGAATATAGTCAGCCCGTCATATCCACGGATTTCACATCCATGGATTCAATCAACCGTGGATACAAATGCTGAAGAAGCAGAGGGCTGACTGTACATATATAAGTATAATATTATCTAATGTACAGTCAGTATTCAAGTTTTCACACTTGTTTTAATAAAGTCCTGTGTTTCCAGCTATTTCTTTTTTAAGTTCAGGATCTAATCAAGGATCACTCATTGCATTTACTTTCATGTCTTTTTAGTTCCCTTCGATCTAGAAGAGTGTCCAGCCTTTCTTTTGTCTTTTATACATCGGCATTTTGCAGGCATCTAGGCCAGTTTTTTTTGCAGTCTTTATTTCTGAATTTTTACTTATGATTAGATTGGGGTTTAAACGCTTTTGACAAGAATACAATATAAGTGATGTGTCCTTCTTAGTGCATCATATCAGAAGGAACGATGTCAGTTTGTCCTATCATTGATGATGATATGTTTGATCATTTGAGTAAAGTGATGCCTGCCAGATTTCTCCTTTGTGGAGGTACCTTTTTTCCTTCATAAATAAAGAACTTCTCGTGTAATTGACCATAATTTGAAAGTTTGAAATACATGTTTATTAAATTAATTGAATATGAATTTCCTTTTTATATATAAAAAGTAAATGTTAGATTCTTCCTTTAAAAATATAAATTCTCTTTTGATATATATATTTCCTGTGATTATTTTCTTTCTCAGTGATTTGATAGAAAATAAGCTATCTCTGCTTAGGACTTTTCACTGTGAAATAGGTTTACATACTGAAGTATTTACGGATGAAATAAAATGATGTCTGGGATTTGCTTCAAAATAATCCAGTGGTGGTGGTAGGGGCACAACTGAAACAGGATTGCCAAATGTTGATTGTTGTTGAAGTTGGATGATGGGTACACAGGAGTTCATTATACTACTGTTCTCTATTTTTTATATATTTGAAATTCTCAATTAAAATGTTTAAAAAATTAAAAATGAATAGACATTTATGAAATTCTGAGAATTATGGAGATTATTAGCTATCCAAGACCTTGTGAAATGCTGGACCATGTGTGCCTTCATTCAGCAAATGTTGTTTGAGTGCCTGCTCTGTGTCAGGCATTTGGTTGGAACTAAAGATACCCACATATGATAAGCATTGTCTTCAAAGAATGCCACAAGGAGTGAAAGAAACAAATAAGCCATTGTAAGACAATGGGATGGCTGTACTAGAAGTATATATAAGGTATCACCGGTGATAACACAGGCAGGAAGTTGATTTAATGGCAGTCGGGTAAATCTTTACAAAAGAAATGACACGTGAACTAGATCCTTTTCTGTAACTTTGTATATGTCTTCTACTGTAATGAGTATATCTAGATTTTCTCTCTCTTCTGGAGTCAGTTTTGTTATTTAATATTTTCTTATAAAAGTCATCCATGTCATCCAGGTTTTCAGATTTATTCGTAGAGTTTGGCAAATTTATCTCATGATTTAAAAAAAAATGTTTTCCCTCTATATCTGAGATTGTTTCCCCATTATTATTACTTACTTGAGTATTTGTGCTTTTACAGTTTTCTTCACTACATTAGTGTTTACTCCTGTATTATTTTCTTCCCCAAGAAACAGTTTAACTTTATATATTTTTGAACTTTATATAATGGAATCACTCAGTATGTACTTTTTTTTGTATCTAGTTTTTGTTCAACATTATATTTTTAAGATTTGTCTATGATGCTGCATGTAGCTATAGTTCACTTGTTTTCATTGCTATATAGTATTCCATTATATGAATTATCAGTTTTTTAATCCATTATCTTGTTGGTAGACATTTAGATTATTTTCAGTTTGGGGCTATTATGAACATTCCTGTATTCTTGTGTATGTCTGTTGGGCCAAATACACACATATTTCTGAAGGTCTACATCTGTGCTAGAATTGCTGGATCAGATGATATGCAAAACTTCAAATTTACTAGGTAACTCCAAACTATTTTTGTAGCTGTTCCAGCTTCTGTTTCTGTCTTTATGCTTCCTTTCATATCTCTTTTTTTCCTGCTTTTGACTCTTTTTCTTTTTTTAAATGATTATTTTATTAAGTCTTTGGAATTCATGATACTATGTTTATTTAATCACAATTTTCGTTTGCCCTATGGCAGAATTTCTTGAGTGAGAGTTTTTTTTCTGGCTATTTTATCTGTATAGCAGTCTTCTTTTTTCTGTGTGTTTTTATAGATGCTGTGCTAGTCCCCTTTCTAATTATTACTCATCTTTGCAGTGAGTTCAGCTTTTACTTCTCCCCAGCTAGCCAGCAGGAATGAGCAGCTACTCAGAGATGAGTAGCGTTCCTTCTAATTTAGAGTTATTCTCCTCTGAGATCCTTTGCGTTGTGCTTCCTATAAAGATGAATGTCTGTTTCCTTGTGTTGGTGTTATATGCTGTCCCGGGAGGGTTCTGTTAGACTTCATTCTCATTGTTTCAAGCAAAGGATTGTTAGTTTTGCTCCTCCAAGTGTACCATGTGCTTTGAGGATCTGTCTTCTGCTGGTTTTATCTGAGATGTTTTATTTAATTTTCACTGCATGTAGCAGTCCTTGCTCAATTATGGTGGTGGTTCAGGGTACAGAGGTCTCCTAATCTCTTTGCAGAAGGCATTTGCATTTCTCTTTTTTCTTCTTTTTTTAGGGTGATTTCTGAGAGAAGAGAGCAGATGATTCCACCTTCTTAAAACTCAAAAGTTTTGCTTATATTTTCTAATTAAGAACACTTCTAATGTTTCATCATAAAATGTGATGTTTGGTGTAGTTTCTGGTAGTTATCCTTACCAAGTTAAGGAAATTTCTGTTTTCTACTTACTAAAACCTTTTATTTACTTATCATTTTTAAAATCAGGAATGTATGCAGAATTTTTGGCATCTAGGAAGATGATAGTATTTTTTTCTTCTTTAATCTTCTAACATAGTAAATTACATTAGTGTATTTTGTAATATTGAATTATCCTTGCATTCTTTCTTTTTTAAGATAATTTCTTTTATTGACTGATTTTTCTCCTAGTTCTAGGTCACATTTCTTGTTTCTTCATGTATTTTTAGTAACTTTTTGTTAGATACTGAACATTGTGAATGTTATATTGTTGAATGCCTGGATTTTATTGTCTTCTTTTAATGTGTTGAATTTTGTTTTTTTTTTTTTGTGAGGAAGATCGGCCCTGAGCTAACATCTGCCAATCTTCCTCTTTTTTTGCTGAAGAAGACTGGCCCTGGGCTAACATCCATGCGCATCTTTCTCTACCTTATATGGGACGCCGCCACAGCATGGCTTGACAAGCGGTGTGTCAGTGCGTGCCTAGGATCCGAACCAGCAAACCCCGGGCCGCCGCAGTGGAGTGTGCGCACTTAACCACTTGTGCCACTGGGTCGGCCCCTGAATTTTGTTTTATTTTGCAGTTGTTACTTGTGGATCAGCTTGACCTTTTTGAGGCTTATTTCTGAGTTTTATATTCTAGACCTGACCTGAAACTCAGAAACAAGCTTTCACTTGTATACAAGCCTTTAGTATTAAATTATGACCCTTCTGGAGTCTGTTTTGAAGTCCTGGATATCTGGGTGTCTGTTGACACTCTCTCTACTTAGGCTGCATGGAACTTGAATATCTCCCAGCCTTGTGATAGCTCTGGAATTGTGCAGCTTACAACTCCTACAACTTTCAGCAAGAGAATCAAGAGGACTCCCCAGATTTCTGGAGCTTTTTTTCTGTGTAGCTTCCTCCTCTCTGATACTCGACCCTGCAAATTCCAGCACCTTCCGACTTACCAAACTCTTGAGTTCTGACTCCTCAACTCAACAAGACTGCTGGATTCTGCTTGAGATCCCTTTCCCTGTGCCACAGTTTGAAGATGCCTCCAGGCAGAAAGTTGGGGCACTTGTAGGGTTTACTTTGTGTCCCTCAGTCATCACAGTTCAGTGCTTATTACTCAATGCCTGATAATATTTATTTTATATATTTTGTCTCATTTTCTAGTTGTTTATGTCAATAGGGCATGACTGGTATCAGTTATTCCATCATGGCAGATGATACATCCTTTTAATATACTGCTGAAATTTTATTTGATAATGTTTTATTTCAAATTCGTTAAATCATGTTTATAGTGAGGTTGGTTTATGGCAGTGCCTCTCATTTGTGAGTGGCTCTATTCCTCTCCCTTTGGGGAGGTTAGAAATGTAAGGGGGACTTTTCTTTGTAACAATGAGTAGGAGTCACAGTCAGCATTTAGTGGAGGAGAGCACGGGATACTAATGTCTTGCAATGCAGTGGTCTGAATTTTCTCCCCTCACCTCTTTTCTTTGTGCTTTTTTGTCCACTTTTGGTAATAGGCTTTTATTAGCTTCTTAAAATGAATCAAGAGGCTATCCATCTTTTTCTGTACCCTGGAATAATTTGAATATTAGTAACTAACCTTCCTTGAAGGTTTGGTAGAACTCATGCTTAAAACCAACTATTCCTGGTATCTTTTTAAGTAGACCTTTGACTCTATAGTTATTTTATATAGTCAGATTTTTCTGAGTCAGTTTGGGTAACATATTTTCCTAGAAAAACCACCCATTTCATTTACATTTTCAGGTCTTTTTGATATAAATCGTTTAATACTGTTCATGTATGATTTTTTAAAAATCTCCAGTTATATCTTCTTTTTCATTTCTGATACTATTTTTGTTTTACTGCTTGAATAGATTTGGCCGAACTTCATCTAATTCTCTTTAATTCCTTTTTTACTTTTTTTAAATGTTTACTTGGTCCTTTTTGCTAACTTCTTGATTTAATTGCCTCTTTAATATATGTTTAGTTTTGTTTTTGGTATATGACACTGGCCTACTCTTGCTCTTAAACTTATTACGGCTTGCACTTAGTTTCTCTGGCGGTTCTTTTGGGGAAGAATGGCTCATAACTACTGCATAGTTTTCTCTTGTACCTCTTTTGGATTGCAGGTTTTAGTCCTCTAGTTTTAGTGTTTATCTGATCAAATGATACATGAGTACAAAGTTTGACATTCAGATAAAGGCTAAATTAATCACTGTCTCTAATTTAAGACCTCTCCACAAAGATTAATCACTGCTGTCAGTTTCATGTGTGCCTGTCAACCCTTTTCTATGCTGCTATTTATAATCTGTATCATTCTTAGAAATGTAAACAGCATAATGAGTATGTGTGTGTGTGTTTTGGTAATAAATGGTATTATAGTGTATTTGTTATTCTTAATCTGCTCTTCTCATTCAGCAGTATGTCTTGCAGATCTTTCCCTGTCAGTACATGTAAACCTACAATATAGAATTTTTGGTAACTGCATAGTATTCCAAAGTATGTGTATACCACAGTTTATGTAAACACCTACCTATTAATAAAATTTAGATATTTTCAGGAATTTTTTGTTTTTTACTCCTAAAAGCAATATTGCTGTAAGACATTCTTGTACATTCTCTCTTGTCCTCTGTGAATATTACTTTATAAGAAATGGAATTAAATGGGCCGTAGAGATGTATGTTTTTATGGACTTTGCCAATTGGCGCTTTAGAATGTCTATACCGGTATACATTCCTTCCAGCAGTACCAATTTTTGATAACCTTGGTCTTGGTCTACTTTTATTACTATTTTTGCCAAACTAATACATGAACCAAAGTAACTCATTTTCTCTCTGGTTTCTACCTTCCTAAAATTCTTAAAAATTCCTGATCCACTATTGGCATCTTTCTGTGCTGTAATGAATATTCTTCTACGTATATCTTTTTTTCTTTTTTCTGTATATGTCTTTGCTATCATCTTAATATAATTTTAGAAGAAAGGGGAAGTGAGCAAATGTCGTTAACCCACTATCCTGAGCTGTCATGGATGCTGGATTATTGGCTGTGAGTACTACTAACTTACTGTTGCATGACAGCCTCTACATTCCCACAATTCAAATTTGTGTCTCAACATAAATCTCTATGTGTCATGGACCTTTGGGCCCAACTGTTAAATGCTTGAAATGGTAAATATAAACACTATAAATGCTAAGATTCTACTATAGTTTGTGCAGAATACTAATTATAAACCTTTTCTGAGAGAATTATTTTTAAATCAGGGAATCTCTTACATTAATAAAACGTAATTGTAGTGATTTTTGAAATTTTTATTTTTAGGTATTAGAATATTTAAATGATCTGAAACAATATTGGAAAAGAGGATATGGGTATACGATTAATAGTCGATCCAGCTGCACCCTGTTTCAGGATATCTTTCAGCACTTGGACAAGGCAGTTGAACAGAAACAAAGGTAAAAACTTAAAGAAAATTTTTTAATGTGTATTCTGAGTGCCCAGTTAAGCTTCTGGAAAATGTTTTATAATGAGTGATTTAAAAAAATAGATTTTGCTTATGTTTTAAAAAAATATTTTAATATAATGATTATGCTTACAAAAGAATTAGATGACATATAAGTTATAAAGCATATAAACCCTTCATTCAATTCATACACTAGAACATTTCTAAAAATTTACATTTGTTTATTTATGTGTTCCTCAGTGATTCCATTTTCCTGCCTCTCCTTGCCCTCTCTATTCCCTATCCCCTGTAATTACTATTCTGAATTTGGTGTATATCATAGCTTTCATAGCTTTTCCTCTTTAAAAGTAATTTTTATTATGAATGTATGTGTATCAGAACAATATGTTTAGTTTTGCTTAGAGTCATGCTTACTGTCTACTAGAACTTGTTTTTTTTCCCCTTAACATTACATTTATAATATTCATGTTGTGTTGCATATACTATAGTTCATTCATTTTTACTACAGTACGATATTCAATAATGTGCAATATTCAATACATAAATACCATAATTTATACCATCTTCTCTTGTCAGTAGGCATTTGGGTAGTTTCTTTTTTTTTTTTGATACATAGTATTTTTATTCTGTTCTGGTATTTTAAAATTTCCATTGTTATTTCTTTTTTTTTGTTTATTGCAGTAACCATAGGTTTATGACATTGTAAAAAATTTCAGGTGTACATCATTGTACTTCTATTTCTGCATAGATTACATCATGTTCACCACCAAAATACTAATTACAACCCATCACCACACACGTGTGC